CCCCAAAACCCCAAAACCCCAAAACCCCAAGAGGATTGTGAGAGATTGAAATTTAGTATCTAAGGGGGTTAATCTCTGTAACCTTGCTCATCTACAAACATTTGAAGGTTATCGCTTTTATTTGAGTTATCTGTAAATTAGTTAATTTTTTATTTACCGTTTTTTGATTTCAAATTCGCTTGAAAGTGTCCTTTTGAGCTTAATGTTCCACTTCTATCTTCCCTCTCTCCTAGATTGTTTGGATGAATATTTTGATCTTTTTCTTTCTCAGTTAGTATCTTATGAATAGGCTGGTTCTGAATAGTAATCTGCTTTTTCAGCTAAAAGGTATTAATTTTATTAGAATTACCCCATTGCTTCCTTCATTAATTGTACCTGACTTTTGTAAAGGTCCTAATCTCATAGATTTCTCATCTTGGTCATTATTGATTTGAGAGAGATATTCAGTCTGCTCTTTATCCTCCTCTTTATTTACCGCATACCTTGTTCCTTCACCATTTCTATTGAAGAAAGAATTTATTGAGAATTAGTAAATTTAATAAAGCTCTATCTTACATTGAGGACATGCACTGATTCACTTGAGCATCAATAATTTGGTCTATATTTAAGAGTTTATTTTAATAGAATCTCTATTTTTCCTTGTTTTGTTGCTTCCAAGGCTTACTTATATCACCATTTTCTGATTTCTGATACATAATATTATTCCCAAATCTTCTTAAAAAAAATTCTAATTTCTTTGAGTGTACAACAATTTGCTTTGTAGCCTTCTTCTTAACTTTATTGGGTTGTTCAAAGTTGATTATCTATATAATCCTCAGTTTTTGTTTGAAGAAGGTATATTATTATCAATCAAAATCTCCCAAAATTCTGATCATTAGCCCACAAGTTCATTACTCCAAATAAAAATGACAAAATTTTCATTAAAATCTTGCTTTAAAGCGAACCATTAATCAATTCTTCCCATCACCTATTCCCTTAACCCCTTCTCTTTCTCTTCCAAAATATTTAAGCACCCATTCTCACTACTTAAACTTCTTAAAAGCTAAACTCTACATGTATTAACTTACTTTTAAAATCTTAGGGATGTCTGCGTTAACTATAAATGAATGATAAATTGTGAGAGGAGTAGTTTACCGATCTCTTTCTCCCCTCTTGAATGTTTACGAGATTCTTTCAAAAATTTGTTAAATTTTTGTGCCATTAATGTAGGATTGTTTCTATTTATTTCAGCAATTTCAAGAAGCCTCTTATTTTTCCTCTTTAGTAAATACCCATTTATCTTTTTGTGCCTTCATTGCACCTGAAATGGATTCTTCATCTGATGCTTGTGAGAATTCATACTGAATGGTTGGATTTGGAGGCCCTGACTTCATACTTCATTCGATCTTTTCATAATGGAACGAATTATCCTATGTTTAAGCTCCAAAATCATTCAGAAAATAACAGACATGCATAAAATAAAGCTCATTCTTACTTGGTTTTTGTTGGTTTGATCAGGATCTAAATTTTCCAAAAAGTTATTAGATTCTTCTATTTGGATCAGGCTTTCCTCACTTACGAAAAGAATCATCAATTTCCTCTATCAGTATTTCATAGTCATGCTCTTCAGAGGATTTGTGTTCCTCTCTACCTTGATCTTTGTACACTATATTTGTCTTTTTAGATTTCCTAGTATCATTTTGGGGGATTCTTCTTTATGAGGAATGCTTCTAAGTAAAAAGCTGTTAAGGCTCTGTAGCGATCTTTTCTCATTCATAAGTTCGTCTATAGTCTTGTTCTTTTCTGAAAGTTCATATTTTAGTTTTTCGATTAATATGTCTTTTTCATCTGATTTTACTTGACTCAAAGAGATATTAGAAGAGTTCATTCCTATTTTATGAGGTCATAGTAGTACCTAAATATTTGTCTATATACTGAAAGTCTGATTCTGTTCCACGACTGCTTTGCTTTTTGCCATTAAACTGGCTTACTATAGATTAAGAGGTGAAATAATTTACTCGGGTGCTTAGCCTCAGGAGAATTCTGATTACTTTGAGCCTGCCTTCTAAAGATCATGGCTCTTTCCAAATATCTGCTATCATCTTTTCTAACAATACTATTCATTAAAGATATATTTTACTTGAAGTTTTTGTGAAGAAAGCTAATATAAGAAGTCTTATTTGAATCTTGTGTAAAACTTCTTCTAAGTTTATCAATCCTTGCTGTTTGTCCTCGCAATATCGATGAAAATCTTGAACACTTTGTAGTATTTGTAGAGTCATACTCTTGATGCCTAAAGAGATCCATTAAGAGTGCCGAAGTAAGAAGTACTTTGAGGCAGGAAGATTACTTTCGTAGGAATTCCCTTTTAATATCTTCTTTATATGTCCTCTATTTTTCTCTTTTTTTCTTATTATTTGTCAATTTTTCTTCTTTGGAACTATGGCATTGATGTCAGTGGCTTACTTATATTTCTTTATTTTCAATTGGTTTTTTCTAAATTTAAACTAAAAGTATACTTTCCGAAGCTGAAGGAGTTATAATTTTCCCCATAATATTGATGAATGGGAATTCCAAAGCTTTCATTTCTATTAATTTGTTGAGCACTATAAAAGAGATTATTAAAATAATAAGATATAAACACTAAAGACAAAATCAATCTTTTAAAAATAACAATACAATCATAATCCTCCATCCTTGCTCAAAATCATCAAATTTTTCTCAAACTTATCATTTTCCAAAAATCTAAAAACCCTCATCAACTCCATCTTACATCATTCCCTCTCCATACCCTTCCACCCTCCTCAAAACCCTCTCAAACCTAACCCAAATCCATTTCCCGCTTAAAACAGCCCCATTCCTTCATTCCCTTAAACCTCCACTCTCTCCTACATCTTTTTCCTTCCCTCCAAATTTTGTTCTATCCAAGACTACTTTAAAACTTGGATTTCCTTACCAATTTGAACTTTATATGTGCTCATTTGGAAAATTTAGGGTGAAACAAAAGCTGGTGAAGAAGGATGAAGAGGAAAGCAGTCAATGGGAGGTAGGAGAAAATTAGTAGAAGAATAAACAGAAGTTAAGGAATAAATGGGGTTTTGGGGGAGGATTTTTAAACAATTTGGAAGTTTTTGGGGAAAGTGTGGAGATTGAAGGTTAGGAAAGGGGGGTGGAGGAATGAGAGAAAGAAGTGGTTTTAGAGGTTTTATACATAAAAGGGATAAATTTTAGATTTTTAGTTTTGATCTTTAATATTCGATATGACTCTTTAGTAAAAGCAAAAATCTTGGTTAGAAATCAATAATGCCACATCTTATCTTAAAAGACTAGTGTTTTTGCTACTAAAACTCCCCTAACCTTGTCTAAACATACTTCCCCCAACTTTAAGACTGCATAAACTTTATTAATGATATACCCTTCTTCCATGTTCATAAATTCTCAATTATAATATCTTATAATGGGGTTTTGGGGTTTTGGGGTTTTGGGG